TGAATAGTGTTGTGGTTGTGGTTCATTAATTATAATGTACTTATATTAAATGTGTCACTATTGTATTGAAACGGGCGGGATTCGAACCTGTGACTTCTGGAGTATAATGATAGAGATTTAATACATACACATATGTATAAATGTAATATATTTTATGTTTTTTAATTATTGAATATATTTGTATTTGAATATACTTTATATAAATATAGGTATTAGGTATATTTTATTTTAATATACACATTTTAAGCATTTTGACAGCATTATTGTATGATAAGACGTTACATTTATTAACTTAGTCTAAAAAATGTATAAAAATAAAATAAATGCAATATATTATTTCCTTTGTTAGTAAATTCTTTTAATTATTTCATTAGACATAGATACCAGTATTTGGTTCCATCTTATAATATATTACCCAAACATGTTGTTGTGATTCACCAATCAATAGTTTAATCCCTACTAATATTATAAATTCGAAAGTAACTCTGTCTGTCTGTGACGCTTTCACGCCTAAACCACTGAAATAATTTTAATGACATTTGGTACAGACATAGAGATGACCTTGAGAAAGAACATAGGATAGTTTTTATATCAGACTTTTGAAAGGTTCTCTTGGAAACGCGATATAACCGAACTACACGCAGGCGAAGCTGCGGGCGGAAAGCTAGTAATCTATAGGTAAATACACTTAGTACGAGTAACTATAGTTAATATAAACTGTCAGTTTGATCGTATTTCCTTCGCAACTTGTGTATGATAGTTATGTTAACTTTAATACTGTCAGTTGTCAATGTATCAGTTAAAACTTTTCTACATACTACTTATATTAGGAACTAAGTTTCTGATTGTCTAAAGTATTTTTGTGCTAACGTGAAGTATCGTCGTCAATATATTATTATTTAATTGAAAATTAAGTTAATTTCTTTACTTAAGCTTGTACTATATATAAATATATATTTGTACTCACACATTTTATTTAGTAATACTACTAACAAAAGTAGTAGGATGCAATATGAGTATTTAAAATTAATTGTATCTTAAAACCATACTTATTATCCTGACCTCTAAGCATATACCTAAGTTATTATATAATACATATAACAATGTTATACATTTAATGTCCGCCGCTAATGGATTTTCGCGGTTAGTAAAACGGAACGTCGCCGGAAGACACGCCCCTTCCGCTCGCTAATTATATTACAGATACAAAATATTATAACACATACAGCCGACGTCGTGATATGGAGACGAAATACTAATATTGGTACTGAAATAATAGATGTATGGATTTATAGTTAAAATAATTACACTATTTTTAAATTAATTTTTCATCGCCATACATTTAATTATCGTTGCGTTAAAAATATAAACAGCGTCTATCATCGGCTACAAAGTTGAGATAATTATAAATCTAAATTTAAACAAACAACTTTTATTTTTAAATTCATTATTTTGGTTCAAACATCAATACCTTTGCCTAGCAATTCATAAAAAAAAAAACATATCAATCTCTCCCTAAGCTCTAACATTGTATTTGTGGATCGCTGTCAGAAATGTCAAAAGTCGTTCCACTTTCAAAAATCTTACGCGCGAAAATGATATCCGAGACCGATTGAAATACACAAACTATTCATCAAGTATATAATGAACCTTATTTTGTATGTAATAGAGTTCAAAATAATATTAATCGAATGTATTAATAATTTTGTATTTGGAATCATCGAAATTATTATTCCATTGTTGTTTTAAAGTACATTCAATTTTAAGCTTTATTTCGTTGTAATAAGGTCGTTTTGTATTGATAGGGTTGTTCCCGCGTTAAGTGCACTAGTGGTGTGACATGACGGCTCGATTCGATACGAGGGTGAGTTTGTATCCGTGATTCGTATAGTGACATCTCTAGATGAGGTTTTGATGTTGTTAATGCAAATTTATAATAGCTCAGGCTGTGGGGGAATATATTCAATGTTAATAGAAAATTTTATGACGGATAGAGAGTTATTTGTACTGTGAAGTATTTATAGTTTTTAATAATAATGTTTTTTTTTAATTTGAATTCTATTTATAATGTACTTTTGGTGTATTTTATAACAGTTTCCCGCCAAAACGCCTGCTTAGATTTTACAAATTAGTATTCCCAACAAATTATTTAACGTTGAGGAATCTTAAGCATATCTTATGGAAATATTAAATATATTTCATTTAATAATAATGTTGATATAGAGTAGTGTTTTTTATCATATTCTCTCTTTTTAAATTGTAATAAAATCAGAATATAATATATTTAGACTAGGACCTCATTACATAGAGATGAGACAATGTCAAAGTATAGAGAACCTTTTAGTTATAACAATATTTTACTGATTTTAAGAATAACTTTTTTTCTATCCGTAGTGAATGGTAACAGTATGCACAATATGTAATTCGTTCATTAGTATCAATTTTATTTTAGTTTTTTGTATAAGATCTAATATTGTTGTGTTTGTCTTCAATCGAATATGGAAAATATTTATTCCAATAATCTATAATTAAGCTTCCTAGATCAAACTCACGTACTAATGCAATATAAATTACAGAGTAAGTAATTGATACATAAAGAGTATTATAAAACAATTACAAGTATAATAATTGTTAATGATATTTTTCTATGAATTATTTATGTATCATCCAAATGCTGAACAAATTTTCATATAACAACCTCTATCAGATAAGCTAGTACACAAGATTAAACATTTGTACAATATAATTTGTCCGTACGATTTCCCATGGCTATAAATAATTATTAATCCAACATCGCAAGCTCGATTAACCGTAACGAGCCAACACTAGCGAGGCGAGCGGCCCGCTAATGAAACGGAATTGCTCGATAAAAAAAAACTGCAATCACTATTAGGAACGACCAATGGAAGTTCTACTCACTGATTGGAGGAGACTCAAGTTTCATTACGCGAGCGATAAATATACATCCGTCTCGCTCTAACACACGTTATGACGTCACGTTAGAGCGAGACGGAGGATGCGTGATACGTCATCAGCGCTAATCTCATCCACAGGGTGTTTTAATATTTAATTTAATGGTAACATTTATTGTTGTTATGAATATAATGGCGGGGCGCTGTGATGATGTGGAATGGGGTTTATTGAATTATATTATAGACAAAAAATAATATTATGATTTATTATATGAATAATGTAATAATGTTTTTGTGTGTGCTTGTGCAAGTAAAACAAAAGCTATAAAGATGTATTGTTTGTATTTTATTTGTTATGTGAACTGAATTATCTAGTATCCTAGACCAGTCTGAGTCTACACGAGACTAGACTCGGTAAGTCGCTGATTATCACATTAGTTTAATGGAATGGTAAAAAAAATATAAGACTTCACCTTTATCATACTAATTGTTGAGGACGAAAACTAAAATAGCTACCGACTGAGATTTATTAAGTTTTAAGTATTTACTTGTATATAAAGTTATTGCTTACTTCTGATGTATTAAATATTAAAATGTATAGATTTTTATCATCATCAGCCTATCAGAGCTCACTGCTGAGCAAAATCCTCTTCTCTCTCAAAGGTTTGAGCATTAATCACCACGCTTGTTCAAGACGGGTTGGTGATTTCAAACTTAATTTTATATTATAAGTCCAAAATATAAATAAATATACTAAAAGCCATATTTCATTGTTTATTCGTGTTAAACCATGTACCGTCTTCTCAGACAGTGAGGAGCTGTCTGTCTGTCTAACTGAATTGTGTTGGAAATTTTAATAAGATTATGTAGATGGTGTTACTGGATAGAAATTTAACTCGGGAGTTAAATATTAATATATAAAACTGAACTATATAGATATAGTTTAGACTATATTACTATTATATACCTACATACTTATTAATAGGATAGTCTTGTTAAATTCTAATAAATTACTTAATATTTATTAAATGATGAATTCTCCTACAAATTATTTAACATATCTGTACTTTATTTATAAAGATGCTGAAATTATAACTTATAAGTAATAATGATAATAAAAAGCACATTAAAATACATAATTATTATATATAAAATATAATTTCGTCATAAATCTGTGATACAAGGAATAGCGGTAATCAATTTATGGAGACGGCTACAAGGAGACTAATTGCTCTCTAATGACACCGGGACAGTTGAAACGAGACAGTCAGTAAGATAAGTAGGAAATAGGAATATTACTTGAAAAATATTTATTTTAATATAAAGGAATTGATTTAAAAACAAACCTACTGGCGGTTTATGAGATGGTGCTAATAAATTTTTGTCATGATTATGGCGTAAGTTATTTATAAATTTATATCATTATTAATTAATATTTAATACAAATAAAATACAATTAATTGATTAATATTATTATTTTTATTCTGTATTTAATCTATCCAAAATCCAGTGGAACTAAACGAAGCACAAGCGATAAACTTATTCAAAGCGCTGACTCTGACAAAACATTAGGATCACCACCAATTACCCGTGTACTAAGAGGTCTCTAATATCAATATCGCTATCTCGCTCGCACACGACTATAAAACACATCACCCGTCCCACTCTAACTAAACGGAGAACTGCTCTCAATCACTCAGCCCGAGAACCAAAGAGTCTTTAAATCCATCCGCTCGTGTTCGAAATTCAAATCTCTGGCTCGGTTTATGAGTTTATTATATTCGAGCGTACATTTGAAATACTTTATAAGAAATGAACAACCAGAAACAGTCTCTATTTAGTCTTAATAAGGTACAAAATAATATAAGCATTCGATGTTTTAGGAGATGTAATAGTATTAATAATCATGGTATTATGATGATGTCTATAAAGCTCATGTTAGCTCGGCCGCGCACACCCCGTATGTGGGCGTGACGTAGCCGCGCGCTCGAGCCGCGTCACTCAGTACGATGCGGCGGACGGACGCGCCGCGCGTTCCAAATTCAAATTTAAAAACGAATATTTAAAAAGTGCCAGTCAGTGTCAGTGATGGCGTCCGAAACCGAACAAAATAAGAAAAAAGCGCCAAAACCGTTTACAATAGAATCATTGATAGGTGATAGGAAGTCACCAGATATAGATATAGAGAATAATATATCGGAGAGTTCAAGGAATTCTGAGGACGATGAGTCTGAGAGGAATAGGTACGGGATGAGATGTTATTTCAACTCTCCGTTGTTGCAACAGAGTGTGAATTTTCCTTTTCTGTTGGGTTACTCCGAGCCGTGGCTTACGAGGATGCTGGGCGCCGGGCCGCAGCCCGAGGAGAGGAGAGATAAGAGAGAGAGTCCCGTGAGTGTGGGAAGTGAAATAGATAGTGACTGCGCCGAAGATAATACACAAGGTACTTATTATATTGTAACGTTATGTTTTATAAGGAATATATATAAATATTTTTTAATTCAGTATATTTACGTGTAGTACGTTATACGAAATAAAATATTATCGAAATGCATCATACTAGAAGATTTATAAATGAACATTTATTATTGGTCGTATATATACTTAATAAATCAAATACATATTACTAAATTAAATAGGTAATTTAAATATTTTTTATTCTTTTGTCTTTTTTTATATAATATTTTAAATAGAAATACTTTTATTATGAATTGAATATAAGAAACGATTTTTCTTACTCCATTAGTCCATACAGTGGTTCAATAATAATGAATTAAGTACTTGTAGGATGATGAATTATTTTAGAGGAAATTTCACGCACGAACAAACATACAAGGAAATTATTTGTTATTTTTTTTTGTTTCTGCTTAGATAATATTAGTGTACCATATTTTATTTTTATAACTAGTTGTTACCCGCGTCTTCGCCGTTTGATGTATTTACTTATTTGGTATTAAAAAAGTCTTAGTATGTGCGATTAAACATCACTTAATATAGTGATCTTTTAAATAGTTGATTCTTCTTCTTCTCTTCTACCTGGCCATTTCCCAGCTTTAGCCAGGGTCTGCCTTACATGTTGTAAATAGTTTTGGCTAATTGTATTCACGACCGGCCGACTGCCTTACATCAACCCTCTTTTGGGAATGCATTTATCAGTGATGTTTAAATACTCTTAGAAAGTACATATGACTCGGAAAAATCACATTGATACTTGCCAGGATCGAATCCGCGCCCTCGAGCATGAGAGGCGGGCCTTTTAACCACTAGGCTAGCACTGACTAAATAGTTGATAATTCATTCTTTAATATGTATATATTTATTGAATATGGAGCAATATTATTAAATTCTACTGTTTAAAGAACATAAAATCTCTAATAAATATTTCTTTTAATAATTGACTTGAGACCTCTAAAAACTAATTTCTATGGATCTGATGCAATAAACATTTTTATTAATTGATACATTAAAATTATAACAAATGCTTAACAATAACTGATCTTATTATGAATTACAAAGAATAAGCTAAGTTATAACTATTATTATATTAATCACCACGCTTGCTCAAAACGGGTTGGTGATATCAATCTTATAAATTGATATAAGTCCATGTTTCCTCACGATGTTTTCCTTCACCGTCTGTCAGTCTCAGTGGTATCTCAATACTATTAGAAAGTACATATGACTCGGAAAACTTCAGATTAGGACTCATCATTATAAAACTATCTTGATACCCGTATCCTTACCACAAGTTTGCATCGTCACTACATACGCAGAGTTAACAGTAAAGTATTAACGTACGTTATTGAATGAGTAACGAAAACTCTTGGTAAGCGTCATGCATATAATATTACCTTGATAATTTATTTAAGAGGATTTTGTATGCCTTGCTAACGCTATTAAAATATTTATTTATGAAAAATATTTTTTGATAATAAAAATTAATAAAATTAAATTGTGTTAATGTAACAAATAGTTTTGTCCAAATGAAGACAAATTAGCAAGAATCTTTGGTCTCGTCGTTAGCCTATCAGTACCTACTATTTAATAAGTCAATTAATATTCAATGTAGTTACAGAGTAGACATAAATTCAACTAAAACTAATACAACTATAGTTAAAAGTAAACAAGTTATGTAATTCAATGTTTTATTTCTTATTGAGTTATCTGTCTGTCTCTCACAAGTCATTTTGTTCTAATAAACGATTGTTAAGTTAAAACATATAAAATATGAATGAGATTAAGTCAGGTGGCCTAGTGGTTAAGGGGTCCGCCTCTCGTTGCCGAGGGCGCGGGTTAAAACCTGGCTAGAACCAATGTGATTTTTCCGAGTCATATGTACTTTCTGAGAGTATTTAGACACCACTGATATACGGTGAAGGAAAACATCGTGAGGAAACCTGGACTTATAGTTTCATAATTATAAGTTTGAAATCACCAACCCGTCTTGAGCAAGCGTGGTTAATGCTCACACCTTCTCCATGTGAGAAGAGGCTCAGCAGTGGGCTCTGATAGGCTGATGATGAGATTAAGATGACTGTATTTAAAAGCTCTTCTATCTTCTAGGAAACACAAATAAATCTATTTTTTTAAACAACATAGTCACTTCATGTACTCTAATTATATCAGAATTAATTTATTAACAATGAATGTTTATTTAACTCTATTTTTAGTTACTTATTCTGACGTCGAGATTTTCATTTAAAAGAAAAGACAATGTTACTCTTACATCTTACTTATTTTCTCAAAAATTTTCCTAGTTCTTTCTTGCCTAATGAGGTCTAAGATTATCGTGAGTATTAATTTAAATGAAACTAATATTTTTCGATTACTACGCGTTATTTTATTATTTAAACTACATACTCCCGACGTTTCGGTTACTTTACAGCAACCGTGATCACGGACAGACTTCAGCTTCAATATCTTATGTTATAAATTTAGTCTACCTTCTCAATTCTTACTGCTACATACGAGAGTCTGTGAAAACTTAGGATTGTTCTTAATCCAACCTTGCTCTTGACTCGATCTTGGACTTGAGAAAATGAAAGAAAAGTATTGAACCGATTTTTGGCAAAAATTCTATCAAGAAATCCTTTCTTCTCCTTCCTAGCAATTTCCCAGCTTTAGCCAGGGTCTGCCTTACATGTTGTGGATAGTTTTGGCTAATTGTTTTTACGACCGGCCGCCTGCCTGACATCAATCCTCTTTGGGAATATCAAGGGATCCTTTATATGAATAAAAATTTTATTTACTTAGATAACGACTTACATACCTTTTACTATCAATAAGTGTAGAGTGGATTGCAAAATTAGAAATCCTTGGACATACTTTTTTCTTTTCTAAGAGTTACAAAGACTATTTTATTAATTTTTTAAGTTATTTCGGTATGTTTTTTCCAAACGGTAATAAATTTAATGCTTCCTTAAACAACATTAAAATTGCTATTCAGTGTTTTGAGTGAAAAAAAATAACTTTTACTTAACATTTAATTTCTTTTAAAATTTTAACAGCGCTATTTCTTTAAAGCTTATTGCAAAACCAGGACAGTAAATTCTATTACATCCGTAATCTATTTTACTCTCACAAAAATTGTGTACTACATTTTATGATTATCAATAACCATATGTACATGTGTATAAGTTATGGTGGCCTAGTGGTTAAAGGTCCGCCTCTCGTGCACGAAGGCGCGGGTTCAATCCTGGCAAGTACCGATGTAATTGTTCCGAGTCATATGTACTTTATAAGAGTATTTAGACACCACTGACAGACGAAGGAAAACATCGTGAGGAAACTTGTACTTATAATTTCAAATTCTAAGTTTGAAATCGCCAACACGCATTGAGCAAGCGTGGTGATTAATGCTCTAACCTTCTCCATGTGAGAAGAGGCTCAGCAGTGGGCTCTGATAGAATGATGATGATATGTACATTAACATATAATTTAAGCATTAAATGTGATTTCTAATAATAATTCTTAAAATTTTCTTAAAATTTATATTACAGTGATGAAACACATTTGACTCTTTTATATACGTAATAAAATTAAGCCAATATTTAGATAGGGCCTCTTAAACCTACACCTGGGTCGCAAGTCCCAGTCACTGTTGAAGCTCCTCTCTCTACAACGATGGACCCGACACCCGCACGGTAAATACATGGAATGATGAGAGGTTTCGTCTCTTGGATATATCAGACTACACCGTTTCTTAGTTTTGTCTAAGCCATATACTATAAGCACATGGAGAGGAGAGGGTAGTGTGAATATCCTCCTCGAAATAAACAATTAGGTATATGATTTAAGGATGAACGAACCTAATAGTCAAGATGACCTAATTAAAGTCTTATTAACGAAAACTCATATATGTATATTCACAAGGTGCTGAGTCAGCTCTTTAAGACCACATGACAGAATTTGAAGAAATCACAGACTTGTAGAATGAGACGCTCCTATATACACCGGTCGGGCTTGAAAGCAAATTGTGAGCGAAATCCTAATAAATACAGTAAAAAGTATTTCCGAACATTTAAATCTAGAGAATCATCAATATCTTATCAGAATATAGGGTTACACATATTCTTAAACAGATTTCAATAAAAATTAAATGATTTTATTTATCGAGTACATATATTATGCGTAATCATTTTATGCGGAAAATTAAATTAAATTTTAAATTAAAGTTCAAATGCAAATTTTTTACATTAATTAAATAGACATTGACGCGCTTTACCAGAGTTTTTAGTTTTTCTATTTAATAGTCCAGGTTAATCATATAAAGTGTGACGACTTATGAATGAAAAACAGTTAATACTCGTGTGTAGTTTGACGATTCAGACTTGTGGTAAGCGTATTGGATACATGATTACCTCTTCTTCTTCCTAGCAATCTATCAAATCCCGTGCTTAAGAGGCGAAGCCTTTTAGCCACTAACCACCACTGATTCTGGATATATGAGTACTTATAACCAGCTAAAATGAATACCGAAACATAAGTCTTCCAAGTAGTACTACAAATTAATTAACTTTAAACATAAGATTGTACAAGGATTATTCATTTAAGAGGCTCCTGAGTAAATGAAACTTTATGAGATTCTTCATAGTATTCTAGATAGTGAAGTACACACATACTACAATAATTGTAGTCTTTTTTCAATTTAACGTGTACGGTATATATATATGTGTGTGTGTGTGTGTGTGTGTGTGTGTGTGTGTGTGTGTGTGTGTGTGTGTGCGTGCTAACAGCTGTCACTCCTGCGCAGTGTCCTCCGCTCCGTTCGGCGGTACATTTCACGCTACAGATGTCCGTAGTGTTAATTCAGTTTGACTGTAAGGACCCGGAACTGATCGCGTTCTGTTATATAATTAGCGTGAAATAGTCACTTATAACACTAGAGATTTACGTTTTTGTTGCAATATCTGCTTTGTTGGGTAGTTTTGGTTTTTGTTGTAACTTACAAATGAAATATTACGTTGAAGGGGATAGTCTGTTTTTGTTGGTTGGAATTAAACTTGCAATGACTTAAGCTGTTTGTTTTATGAAAACAAATAATCCTACTAATATTATAATTGCGAAAGTTTGTGATTGTGTGTCTGTTTGTTACTTCTTCACGCTCAAACGGTTGAACCGATTTTGATAAAATTTTGTATACAGGAAGCTGACGTCCACGAATAACACATAGGCTACTTTACATCCCGGAAATCCGAGGGTAACACCGCGGGACGCAGCTAGTTCAATATATAATACAATCCAGTAACTTAACAATTATTATTACTGAAAATGCAAAATAAATTTCGAAAAATATACCTTATATTTTCACTTTTTCAAGAATCCCGCGGGATAAGGTACGAAGTCCCAAGTAAAAGATATTAAAAGATATAGATGAAAAGATATTTAAGATAAATACAAATATACAGGATACCATCCTGCCTTAAACTAAATTCTATATATTACACTAATACCATTAATTTATCTTTTATATCGATTTTTACATTAGATTAATTATTTTTCTTGAATCCCAAAACAAAAAAAGGTAGCATTTAAGTCGTTATATTATAACTTTATACGAGTATCATGTTATGAAACAATCATAAGGTTTTTTTAAGTATATATATCTACATGACAATAAATATATAGTCTACTTAAATCAGGGTTAAGGGTCCTTCAAGACTTTTAAGATCCTACATGACTTGACTACTTAAGAATATATCTTAAAAAATATGTTTGTTTTTAAAAATAATCGTTTTTGAGACTTATTTTATACTAGCTTTCTGCCCGCAGTTTCACCCGCGTGGAGTTCGGTTATATCGCGTTTCTAAAAGAACCTTTCAAAAGTCCGGGATAAAAACTATCCTATGTTCTTTCTCAAGATCAACTCTTTCTCTGTAGCAAATTTCATTAAAATCAGTTCAGTGGTTTAGGCGTGAAAGCGTAACAGACAGACATACAGAGTTACTTTCGCATTTATAATATTAGTAGGGATTTTATACAAATGCTGGTTTTTGGCTGATAGTAAATATTATTTTGAAGTTTTTCATTTTTGGAAGTAGTTAATATATTCTTAAGTTTATTTAAAAGACATCAGTAGCTTTACACCGAGTTCTCATTGCTATACTGCGTACGAAGGGTTTCCAGTTTTTATTCATATTAAGTATATCTTCAAACTTTACAAGTATTCACGGAATTAATTGAAAGACGAGAAACGATTCGTTTGTAGTGTAACGTGCAAACTTGTGGTAAGCATACAGATTATTAGTGGCGGATAACGAAATTTTTTTTAATATTTTTTGTTATAATATTAAAAAGGCGATATATAAATTTGATTCCTTCTATATTACGTATGTATCTTGAAGATTAGGTTGTAGGAGTTTAATGAGTGTTGACATTTTTTTATTTGGCTATGAATTTGAAGTTGAAAACTAATATAAATATCCCAAAATAAAACAATCAAATCCAACGCTAATAAATACGATCTCGAAATCAATAAAACGTCAGTAGAGTCAGCGCTAGCAGAATAAAACATCAGTTAATTTGTATTCAGTGACATTTTTCGCACGTAATACCTGCATTTGACACATGCACTACATTTTCCAGTGTGAAAAATTTAAACCGATCCATACGTGACTGACATACGACCGTCCGTGACGACAAACGGACCCATACTGAACATGAAGCCTCACAAACGATTAAACACCGCCGCCGACTTTCGAACGTTCTATTTACGAATTCGAAATTTTGAATTCCGAACGCGCTGCTGCGGCGGGAACACAGCTTTATTCCGACACCCTACCTCCTATACATTTTGAGTCTTATTCCATTAATTTAAGGTACATTTTCGTCTGCAGTGACGTATTATAATTTCGTTATTTTCTTACAATTCATTTGGCGCGTTCGATAACTGTCAATAGCGGTTGACGCGTCCATAACAAATAAATGTATTTATTCGCCAAAGGGATCTTTTTATCGCGTTTTTTTCGAAGAAATTGCACACTTATAGCAGCTTAAGTATTCTCAGTAATATGTACCATTTTTTACGTTCACATGGACATTGGACATTTAAATTTTTGATTTATTTCTATTAAGGGGTATTTAAATGTGAAATTGTACGTGTTTTTTTTTAAATTTCAATGTGGTATGTACATTCGTCTATGTACGTCGAGCTTTGGTTTGTTTGTGTTTATATATATATTGTTATAATATCAGTGATGGCCTAGTGGTTAAAGGGCCCGCCTCTCGTTGCCGAGGGCGCGGGTTCGATCCTGGCCCAGACAAGTGATTTTTCCGAGTCATATGTACTTACTTTCTAAGAGTATTTAGACATCACTAAAAGAGGGTTGATGTCAGACAGGCGGCCGGTCATAAAAACAATTAGCCAAAAACTATTCACATCATGTAAGGCAGACCCTGGCTAAAGCTGGGAAATTGCCAGGAAGAAGAAGAAGATATATTGTTATATATCGGAGGTCTAGTGTTTTGGTCATCATGTCTGTAATGTAATCTATCGGACAGCGCCCGGGCGTGTCGCTGACTCGGTCCGTTTTTTATCGTCATCTCGTTAAGTTTGATGGCTTATTGTTTTGTTGACTCCGACTAAATTCTGACTGAATTGTATGTGTGATGTAGTTATATATATTATATAGTAATAGTTTTCATTAATTTTATAAAAGAAAATTAATTTATGAAGGATATTTTAATAACATTTGTTAAATTATTGTACCTAAAAGAATCTATATTCTCATCAAGAGGACTGTTATAATATTTCTTCTTAATCTACTCACTTTCTATATGCTACTAGTTTTTGCCCTCGACTTCGTCCGCGTTAGTTTGATCAAGAGTAATATATGTAGGTATAGCCGACCAGGCGAACTCTATTCCGTCTAAGAGGCCATAAATAATCAGGTTTTTCTTGTTTCAATCAAACAGAATGATTGACATATTAGTTAGTTGTCAAATCTAATGTCAAAAAAACGTTTGTATGGGAAATAGAAAAGGGCTGTTTTTAGGGTTTTCCCGGCAATTATTCCAATTTTTCTCACCTTTTAAACCTTCCCTGAACTTCCAGGAGTATTTCAAGACTAAAGTTAGCCAAATTGGTTCAGCCGTTCTCGAGTTTTAGCGAGACTAAGGAACAGCAATCCATTTTTATATATATAGAAGATTTATTTCAAAATAGTAAATATTAATAGTAATATTAATAGTAAATTACAAATTTTATACGAGAAACATAAAAAACTTCGATAACTTTTAGAGATATTTTAAAAATGAAATATCTTTTCGGATTAACTTCTCTACGAAAATCTTGGTTACATTAAATATTTTTATATATGTATTAAGTTGCTAATTAGATTAAAAAATGACAATAAAAATTTATAATGAAGGACAGTTAATTTGTATTATACAGTTACTAACAGTTTAGGCAGATCCTGGCTAAAGCTGGGGCATTGCCAGAAAGAAGAAGAAGTAACTAACAGTTTAAACGACTGTATGTACAGGTGTATTTTTAATATAGTATATAATATATACTACTGGTTAACAAAATAAAGCAATTACGTGATATAGAACTATTAGTTTTATAGATCAATTAGGAGGAATCATGATTTATCACGTCTTGGTAGAGTCTAGTGTAACATAGTATTCAATCTTCTTTGGCTGATATACATCAATAATATTGAATTTCAAAATATAGATACACATATACAAACATATAAATAATTGTAGTAATTTGTTGGTGGAAATACTTAGTTTTTATTGTAGTAAAAAGTATAACGATTTTATATATTATGTATAAAAAGTAGGTTTACAAAAAAGTTTATCAATCTTAAATGTCGTACATGTATATCATAGTTGTTATGCAAAGTTTCAAAAGCATCAGTTGTAAGTACAAGATACATTGAAATCAAACTTAAAACACGTCTACTGAACTATTGGTATTTTGCACATTGGCTCTTATACATAGGAGCTATCGATGTATGTATATATATACATGTATGATATATATGTATGTTTTAAATTATATTTTACACACAGACCGCTTTAAATTTTTGCAACATGTACATAATAAGCTAACAATTATCTCAGTCATTTATTTGAACATAATAATTGAACTATAACAGCTATAGTATTTCTGGCAGACCCTGGCTAAATCTGGAAAATTGCCAGAAAGAAGAAAAGAAGAATATCTATAGTATTTCCTATTTCTATGATATTTTATCATCCCAGGTAACGATTCTGACGTCGAGCAGGAAGAATCAGATGCGCCACCTAGCAAGGCGCGCAGAAGACGTACAGCATTCACGTCGGAACAACTCTTGGAACTGGAGAGGGAGTTCCACGCGAAGAAGTACCTCAGCTTGACAGAAAGGTCGCAAATAGCGGCCGCACTCAAACTGAGTGAAGTGCAGGTGAGATAGATAACTACTCTATAAATATACACTAGATAGATAGATAGATAGATAGAATATACTTTATTGTACACTACAAACAGTAAAAAAATAATAATAATAAATTGAAATGTACAAAAAGGCGGTCTTATCGCTAAGTAGCTATTTCTGCCAGACAACCTTCGATTTGGGGAAATTGTGCAGAGCTAACTACCCTACAAATATGCACTACAAAGTTATAGTGTATGGACATAAGATCATGTTATGTGATTATATTAAGATTGATCTGATAGGTATAAATTTAAATTAATTAATATTAAACATTAAAGTACAGATTTTGTAAAACAATATATAAGTATGAACGAATTTAGACAATGATTCGATTGTAAATCTATAAATATAATTAGATATGTGACAATTTATATAAAATAAAAACATAATCCAATTCTGTGTATATTAAATAGAAATTATAAAACATGATAAAAGTCATATAAAAATACCTCTTAGGTACATAATTTTCGTTAATTATACCTTCCTTTCATCCCCATACATAACATAACGAACGTGCAAAACATAAAATTCTTTCCAGGTCAAAATCTGGTTCCAGAACCGTCGAGCCAAATGGAAACGAGTTAAAGCTGGTCTGGCTTCAGGCAGCCACGTGAAGAGTTCCGGAACCAAGATAGTTGTTCCCATACCGGTACACGTGAACAGATTCGCTGTGAGAACCCAGCATCATCAAATGGAGAAGAACCAGTATCGACTGGACAGAACCCTGCCAGGGCTGCTACAATCACAATCCTCCGCCTTCCTCTCAGCAACCAAAAACGATAACCGACCGGATATAACTCGCAACCCTATCTACGATAACCTAAATCCTATAGTCAGCCTGAGATACAACCAGAATGGAAGACACAGTTAGCTCCGAACTAGTTTTGTATATATATGTAAGGAAATGCCTATAATAATGTATTATAAATTTATTATTAAAATGTGTGATGTCGAACAAACTCTTTTATTTGTATCCATATTAAAATGAGATTTAAATAACTCAACAAATTTAGTATGTAATAATAGTTCGCTATTTCTTAGGAAAGCGCAGCAGCTTAATTACTAAAGAAACTGAAACGTATATTCCGTAGGTAACAGGTTCAAATTCTATTCGTGTCTTTGAAATTTTCATTTTATATAGGTATACTATTTGAGTTATATCTCAAGTATTTAGTTAAACATTAATTCATTGAAACAAAATATTCAAGTTTCAAAAAATAATAATTACGAGTTACAATCAGTAAGTACGTAACTATAATATATATATTTCTAACAAATGTTTCAACTGTAATAAATATGCCAGATGTATATTAATCCCAAACATTTATTTAATCCAAAAATAATGTTCGCACCGTATTTGTATTCACCCTACATCTAGTCTCGGTAGGCGTGACCGAGCGAATCTCTTTAACGCTTAAAAGACCGTAATCTATGAACACCGCATACTATTATCAACCTTAAATCAACACAATACGATACATATTGTGTTAATGTTATCTGAAATAGATTTAGATTCCATACCAGTAATTTTGAATTTCATTACAAACAAACAAGGATGTTATGTTGCGAACGATTCCAAATTCGAATTATAAAAATGTTATACTACTAACGATTCCAAATTTGAATTATGAAAATGGTATATTTCAAACGATTCCAAATTCCAATTATAGAAAAGTTATAAGTATTGCGAAACGTTCCAAGTTCGAATTATAGAAAACAATATTCAAAACGATTCAAAATTTCAATTATACAACTAACAAATGTTTTATTGGAAACGATTCCATATTTGAATTATAGAAAAGTTATATTGCAAAAGATTCCAAGTTCGAATTATAGAATAGAATATTTCAAACGATTCCACATTCAAATTATAGAAATGTTATATTTAAAACTATTCATCATAAAACAAACAAAACTGACTTTTATTTACGAATCATACACTTGGAGTTGTCATATAAGATGAATTTATTTTCTAAACATAGTACTTGTCTAGTTTTTATTACTAAACGTAACTATAAAAGTTAAAACTACAAACTATCCGTTTGTAGTGAGCGTCAACTCGTAGTAAGGTAATGATAGCGATACATTACCGTCCTTTTAGCGTCGTCAATAGACTGTCAAATGCACCAACTATTATTAGTTTGGCCTTTGACATAACGATGAATGAAAAATGAAATATAGCTATTTATTGTGTGCGGAACTAGGGTGGATGTTAGAGAGGAAATGTATTAAGAAAATATATGTATTAAAAGTACTTTTATTATTTATACTTATAGCAAAAACTTGGTAGTTGATACCTATATAATATATGTATCTATGTTAAATTTTGTATCTTTGTATATAAAAGAAAGTCGTTTTAGTTACACTATTTATAACTCAAGAACGACTGTAGGGATATAGACGAAAATTGGTGGAGAGATAGATTAGAACAAGGAGACGGACATAGGATACTTTTCATTCGATTGAAAAAGAAGAAAAAACAAGTTGATCAAATCCAAAATCTTCTTATCTACTGTCTTTAAAGAGGAATAGAGTTCGTTCAGTCATCTATACATTTTTAATTTTGAAACTGACGCAGACGAAGTCACGGGCAAAAGTCATATGATAGATTTGTCTTTATAAATTTATTTTTTATTACAATGTATAATTATTATTATTATTAAATAGTTGTATTAGCCCACAATCCCCGTCCCGCCCACAGTAGAGATCGCATCTGCTTTGAGTTTTATAGAATACAATATTCTGTGACAATAATTCTTATAAAGAACATTAATATTGTATGAACATTAATTTAAATGAAACTACAAAACTTTTTTTTATTTCAATATTAGTTTCATTTAAATGAATAAAACTCGCGAAAGTCTTAGATCTTATTATGAACATTAATAATTAATTGTTCACATTCCATATACAGGGTGACTGGTGAATTACTATCGATATTTGAGGACGTGATATTTGACGATCATATATGACAAAATAAAAATTAATATAACATAAATATTAATAAACTACTAAGTAAAGTTAACTAAAAGTTATGTAATTAATTACGCATCGTGTGAGCACCCTACAGATTAGGTATACACTCACACTCACACATACGCGTGTCGTGACGTAGTGTTGTATCAGCACGCCGCCGCACGCGTCCACACTTTAACACTTGGAACGTGTCAACACTTTATTTATTTATATGGAAATTTTGTCAAAAATTAAGTGCCTATTTTTTTTACATAATTCGAATGAGAATCATGTACCGAGTATTCTCCTTAAATATTGATAGTAATTCACCAGTCACCCTGTATATTAATAATTCACATATGAAACTTATCTGGACTGAGGATAAAAAAAATAATAGGATATTTTTCCAAGGCTAATTTACTCAACTTTTAAAGGTAAGTTTAAAAGATCATGTGTTTTGTTCTAAAAATATATTACTATTAATTTTATGTTTATAAATTCGTTAGTTTCTTTGTGTTATTACGTAATATATAATAAGTAAGTACACCTCTTTTTATTTAGCAGTTAAAACAATATACATGTCCCATATATAATGATATCTACATAAAGATATAACAACATACAATTAGCAAAAAAATTTAATAAAAAACATCATAATATATTTAGGTAATAAAAAATATTGATATAGAAATAGATTTAAATCAAAACTCCAATATCCTAGTATAGAATAGTATACATGATAGTATTATTGTATTTGTTTAATTGTGTATCCATCTGTGAGTAATGTTAAAATGTATTAATGTGTCCCGCCCTTGCGACACGCCTTCCAGCCTTTGTAATCACCACCCCAGGTGAATGCTGATTTAACTGTTTTTATTATTATAATATGGTTGATCATTTAGTCAAGGCCGTTGACGAAACGATTGGAAGTTGAATGGAAGCCTATGTTAAGCAGTGGACCTCTGGCTGAAGTGATTATTAATTTGGATATCACCTTATAATGGGATATTAGCTTAGAGTTCTGTGAAGATGTATTCTGTGTAAGGAATTTGTAAGGAGTCTCTATTTTGATTTTCTAATATGGATGGCAAGATAATTTTAATGAAACAAGATTAGTCGATATTGTCAGCGTTTATATTATTTTTATTGTAAAAAGCTTGGGCGAAGTTACTCTTTATTAGATCCTATAGTTTCAGAAATAAAACGGAACAAATAGAAACACACATACATAAGTTTATCATGAATTTTATTAGTCATATTAAGAGTGGATAGTTTCAATATTTTTAACTAGCTTTCCGCCTGCAGCTTCGCCCGCGTGGAGTTCGGTTATATCGCGTTTCCAAGAGAACCTTTCAAAAGTCTGGGATAAAAACTATCCTATGTTCTTTCTCAAGGTCAACTCTATATCTATACCAAATTTCATTAAAATCAGTTCAGTGGTTTAGGCGTGAAAGCATAACAGACAGACAGAGTTACTTTCGCATTTATAATATCAGTAGAGATAAAGTTTGGATAAATTACTCTTTATTAGATCCTATAGTTTCCGAGATTGAAGGGAACAAATATAGAAACACACATACATAAACCAATTAGTAACTTTATCATAACTTTTATTAGTCATAAAAGAGTGGATAGTTTCAATATTTTTAATTGATTGAAGCGTATGAACACTATACACTACTCAATCTCGACAACCGAATGTACGATCGACTAGAGTTTTTTTTGCTTGATAGACCATTTATCTAGGGTGGACTTTGTCAAAGGAAAATGAGATTGGACGACTAACTTCAACTTTAGGGTAGAAAAACGAAAGCCATGTCTAAAAAAATGACGTTTGCCAGCAAAACGATGTACTTTTTTTAGAGAGCAAAAAAATGTAAGTGCATCTTATAGTGTTATGTCTTGAGATTTGTATATGAAAATAATAATAATAATATATATCTATATAGTATGAGAAAACGAGTAAAATTAATTTTTGTTCACTAGTCACATGATAGGTTTTAACTCTTAAATAGTTTTATGTTATTTTAAATAATTTAGAACGAATAAATAAATAGTTGATTACTAATAAATCTGCTATTATAATAAACTTCACGTAATTCGTTTATTTCTAAGAGTATTAATAATTGGAAGTTCATGAGAGAAACAGTCGTCAAAAGACATCCGTCGGTTTAAACACTAGCACATAATAATAAGTTTAAAATGTTTACTACAAGTGTTTATAATGCATTCCCAAAGAGGGTTGATGTCAGGCAGGCGGCCGGTCGTAAAAACAATTAGCCAAAACTATTCACTACATGTAAGGCAGACCCTGGCTAAAGCTGGGAAGTGCCAGGAAGAAGAAGACGACAAGTGTTTATAATCATAGTAAATACTGGGAATTAACCGTTTTTCATTCATTTTTCTCACAGTATTAATGAAAAACGGAAAACGATACGTATGTAGTAAAACAAACTTGTGATAAGCATAATGTTAATTTTTATTAAACACTAAAATAAAGTTCTTAAATTTATTTTGTAATAAAATATATCCAGATATAATTTCTTCATTTAATGTCTTAAAAGGGACAGACAGACAAATAAACAAACAATATATTATACTAAATACTTTAAACTTTGCAATTTCTCTTAAATTAATAGTTTATTTACTCCAAAACGGTAAAATTGATCTTTGTATAGTTATAACTAAGTTAAATTTAAAGTTTTATCTTAAATTATAACTTTGATTAAATTTATGAATAGGTATTATTAAAAATTGCAATATATGTAAGTATATGTCATATAATGAAAAAATTTAAATACAATTTTAACTACTCATTTAAAATTCATTAAAATGAACATATTTTAAGTAATAAAACTAAAATATCCCTTGTTTATAGGTTACCACGAGTTTCCATCGTACCACCACACTAACAGT